AAAAATAAAAATTGTGTAGATGTTTTCACATGTAGGCTAAACTCTATTTTATCAACAACATGGTCAGAGGGTATCAACCTTGTTTCAAGGAAAATTTTGAGAATTAATAAAATACTGGTTGAACTCTAGAGCTTTTTTAAGAACTTCTATTATAGAAATCAGTACAAATTACTTTATCATATTTGAGTTATTGTCTATAAAGTACTTTATATTGCCTGGAACTATTGATGTAAATATAGTGTAATTATAATTGCAGTTTTCAGAATGTAGTGCTTTAAGATAGGATTTTTTAAAAAAATTGATTTAAATAATCATGAATGATAGGGATTTACAAATGTTGATTCCAAAATTTTGCCTGAGGACAAATAGTTTATAGCAAAAATGGCTATCAAAGTATAAATTATCCATTATTTCTGACCCTTAATATTCTATACTTACGTTATCATGTGCTATGACACAAAAGGAAGGTATGTATTTTGTCAGGTCTCATATGCTAAACTACCTACTGAATTTTCTCTCTTCCTGTTGTTAAACCCCTGAATCCCGCTATTCTTGAAAATATAGATTAGACTCATTAAAATGAATTTAATAAAATAAGAACTTCTGAACTTTAAAATGTTTAAGGCTCTAGAAACCATATATAATCTTAAATATTCTGCATTTTAAAAAATCTGAAAAAAGGACCTTCTGAAAATTAAGTCCTTGTGCCCAGGAACAATTCTTGGGGTTTGGAACATCTTCCCAAAACAGCTTCTTCATTCTACAAAGGATAAACAAGGTATTAGACAGAAACACTAATGTTAAAAATGCTAACAATTAATAGATGTAGAAACTAGAAATTAATCCATCTCAGTGGAGTCAGATTCATTTTCACATCCTGTTTCCACCAAAGTTCTATATGTTGTTGTTGTGTGCCTTTGAGTCAATTCCAACTCACAGAAGTCCTATATGACAGAGTAGAATGGCCCAAGAAGGTTTTCTAGGCTGTAATTTTTATGGGAGCAGATCACTAAGTCTTTTCTCCCATGGAGCGGCTGGTAGGTTCAAACCACCAATCTTTCAGTTAGCAGCCACGTGCTTAACCATTGCATCTCCAGGCTCCTTAAAGTTCTATGTAGACCAAGGTTAATACTCAACGTACTAACAAAAAAATAGCTAACATTTACTGAAAGCTGTATGTCAGGCACTGGGCTAAAAATACTGTATTCAGAGAAAACAATTAAAAAAAAAAAAAAAAACGCCTGCAAGTGGGTTCACAAACAATTTTGTTCAATGTGGTCCCATCAGCTCACTTGACTAAATGATAAATTTAAATTCTCAAATTTCTTCTTTGTCTTTTTTTCTAAAGGACAAAAGTTTCTATAAAGAATTGACATGTGAAATGATCTCATTGATTTCAAGAGCTCGACATGGAGTAATATGACATCATAGAACCTTCCAGGGCATTCTAGGCTATTTGTCTATAAACTAGATGGACTAGAGCCACCCAGTGCTGATCTTTAAAAAAAGTACCTACTAATCATAAACAAATATACTACTCCAGGTCAATCTTCACCACTAGACCCCTCAACCCAAATTGCAGAACTCTGAAAACCTTTTTTACTACCTCCAAGAACATACCGTATATTATAAGACTGTTATTTCCTGAATGTATGTATGTATATGTATGTATGTGTACATATATATGTATATGTGTGTGTGTGTGTGTGTGTGTATGTTGTTATTGTTATGTGCCGTCAAGTCGGACCTGACTCGTAGCGACCCCTCCTTGGGTTGCTGAGGCAGTATCACTACAGAAGTAGATTGCCCTATCTGCCTTCCAAGGAGTGGTTGGTGGGTTTGAACCACCAGCCTTCTGGTTAGCAGTCAAGTGCCTTAGGCACTATGCTACCAGAGCTCCCATGTATATGTATATGTGTATATATATATATATATATATGTATATGTATATATGTATGTATGTGTACATATATATGTATATGTGTGTGTGTGTGTGTGTGTCTGTGTATAAACAATTAAATTCTTCCATAAAGTTTATATCATCCTGGCAAAACAGAATGTTGTTTCCTGAAAACTGGCCCTTCCTTTTCACGCCATCTTAATTATATACTGAATACATGTAGAAATATCTAGAATACTTTAATGTTTCTGATTTGGGTTTTATATCAAAGTTTAAACATGTTCAAGGGCTTCTGCCATAAAGATTCTTAACATCAAGTACAATACCTGTCGTGTGATATTAACAATGTTCCAAGCAGTAAGATTGAAGCGGAAATAATTATTGGCACAATTACATATAGACCTGCATCATTCTGGGGTTTTTCGATATCATCTGAAAAAGAAATTCAATTTCATACAACTCAGAAGCTTGAGAAAATGTTAATTGCTTTCTGTATTAAAAATTAAATATAGAAATTGTATGCTGAACAAATAATCCGAGCAGCTGGACTATATGAAGAATAATGCAGCATTAGGATTGGAAGAAGATTCATTAACAGCCTGTGATATATAAACGACATAACCTTGCTTGCTGAAATCTAAGAGGACTTGAAGCACTTACTGATGAAGATCAAAGACTACAACCTTCAGTATAATTACACCTCCACATAAAGAAAACAAAAACACTTACAAATGGACCTATAAGCAACATCATGATAAATGGAAAAAAGATTGAAATTATCAAGGATTTCAATTTACTTGGGTCCACAATCAACACCCATGGAAGCAACAGTCAGGAAAACAAACAATGCATTGCACTGGGCAAATCTGCTGCAAAAGACTTTAAAGTGTCAAAAGGCAAAGACATCTTTGTCACTGAGGACAAAGATAAACCTGACTCAAGCCATGATATTTTCAATTGCCTCATATGCATGGGAAAGCTGGACAGTGTATAAGGAAGATTGAAGAAGAATTGATGTCTTCTAATTATGGTACTGGCAAAGAATATTGAATCTACCATGGACTGCCAGAAAAATAAACAAATATATCTTGGAAGAAGTACAACCAGAATGCTTATCAGGAGGAAGGAAGGTGAGACTTTGTCTCAACATACTTTGGACATGTTATCAGGAGGGATCAGTCTCCAGAGAAGGACATCATGCTTGGTAGAGTAAGGGGTCAGCAAACAGAGGAAAACACTCAACAAAACGGACTGACACAGTGGCTGCAACAATGGGTTCAAACATGGCAATGATTGTGAGGACGGTACAGGACCAGGCAGCATATCATCTTGTTGTACATAGGGTTGCTGTGAATTAGAACCGATTCAATGGCACCTAGCAACAACAGTAACATACTAATTTTTTTTTTTCATTTTTTTGTAAATACAGACTGCCTTTAAAAATGTGAAAAAAAGAGGAAGATAAAGGTATGATCATAATCACTTTAAAAAGTAAATATTGTTGTTCAATATTATTAAAATTCAGTAAAACATTTTTTTCAAAATTATTTATTTGCTAAACCTCTTCATCTGATCATTTTAAGTTACATGAATCAAAGTGCCAAGTAAAATCCTTATCATTTTTGTCTAAACTCACTGCCATCAAGTCAATTCTAACTCATAGCAACCCCCTTTGGGTTTCCAAGGTGGTAAATCTTTACAGAACTAGATTGCCCAGTCTTCCTTCTGTGGAGTGGCTGGTGGGTTTGAACTGCTAACTTTCTGGTTAGCAGTCAAATGCCTTAGGCACTATGCCACCAGAGCTTCTATTACTGTCTAAGCACCTGCCACTCTCTATCTTGTTCACTGAAGATACACTAGCCTCCTTGTTGTTTCTTGAACTACTAAGCATGCTCACTTCTCAGGGCCTTCGCACATGAAATCTCTTTACTTGGAATCCTCTTCCCCTTTGTACTTGCATGGTTCTACTCAAAATCACCTCCACAGAAAGACCTTTTCTAACCATCCTAACTAATCACCACACCTAATTCTATCTCTTCATTCTACTTTTATTTCGTTTCATAGCACTTACTTCTTATTTCTGTTTTTTTAACTGTGGTAAAATATATACAACATAAAATTTGCTATGCCACTTTAACTGTTTCCAAGTTTATAATCCAGTGGCTTTAGTCACACTCACTGTGTGGTGCAGACATCATCATTATTTGCTCCCATTTATTTCTATCTGACAGTGTTAACATAATTTATTTATTGTCTGACATTATTACTTTTGTTGTTATTAGGGGCCATTGAGTTGGGTCTAACTCCTAGTGATCTATGTACAACAGAAAGAATACTGCTTGGTCCTGCAGCATCCTCACAATCCTTGCTATGTTCGCCCCCTTGTTGCAGCCACTGTGTCAAACCATCTCATTGAGAGCCTTCCTCTTTGTTGCTGACCCTCTACTTTTTCCAAGCATGATATGCTTCTCCAGAGACTGCTCCCCCCTGATAACATGCCCAAAGGAAGTGAGACAAAGTCTTGCCATCCTTGCTTCTAAGGAACATTCTGGCTGTACTGCTTCCAAGGCAGATTTGTTCATTTTTCTGGCAGTTCATGGTATATTCAACATTTTTTGCCAACACGATAATTCAAATGCATAAATTCTTCTGTCTTCCTTATTCACTGTCACTCCCACTAGAGCATTAGCATTTCAGCCTCATAAGGACAGATTTATGCTGACTGCTCAAGTTCCAGTGCTCAGGGCATTCAATAAATATTTGTTAATACACAAATGAAATTTTCTAATTATTTTTACTCTAAAACCAGGGAAAACCCTTCTCTCTTGAAACTTCATTACTATGTTTCTTGAATTTTAAGACAATTTGAAAAGTAATATCAGTATCCAAATGTTAGATAAAGGAACTATACTCCAAATACAGCAAAATGAATCAAAAAGAAAGATAAGAGGCCCAACTAACTGAATTTTCTAAAACTATCTCTTTGGTTTAATTTTTTAAGAGAAAGAACATTGTCTCTAAAAAATTGGTATCATTTTTTAAAACATAATAAATATACGTGTCATGGGAATGTATTACTTTGGGTTGGTGCATTTATGCCAATTTTAAAAAATTAAAATTTCTAATTAATCCTGTGATATTGTATTTTATTGTCTGGCTGTATATTTCCCTTTATTTTATTTCCATAAACTTTTTACTCAATTTGCAACTGAAAATTTTACTTACCAATATAAGATTTCAAACCACCATGCCTGATCATTTTCTCTCTCACTACCACCATGGAACCATGTACCCTCACTAGAACTACTGCACGACACATCTGCAGAAGGCCCTGGAGTTCACGTGACTGTTTCTCCATCAGAAAGAGACTGATGAAATGGCAACATTACTATCAATAAATTAGGAAAGCACATATCAATTTAAAAAGAAAGTAAAAGCAGAATTTTTACCTTGGGTGAAACTATTAATTATCTTCGGTTTTCCTACTCCTTCCACAAATACTGGGTAAAGACTGAATTGATACTTCTCAATGGGGATGAAATAATCTGAGGACAAACATATTGGAGGCTCATTTATACCAAATTAAGATTAATCAGAAGAATATGTATACATAATATATATTTA